TGGATGAAACCGATTTGTTCCACCGAGCCTCTTGTGTGTGGCAGCAGTTGTACGGCAAGCCTCGACGGACATCCCGGCGCCTACGGGGCTTTTACAAAACACAACAGTGTCCAGAAAAGTCTGGCCCGCAGCCTCTGAAGATGTGGCTCCGGAGCAGACGCAAAAAGCAATCGCGCTGTTGACTCAGCTTGTGGGCCAAGTTGGAGCCTGAGTGTGTGTGTGGCTGGGAAAGCAGGAGCGTGCCAAGCCCGTCGGGTCACTTGCGCGACAATGAAGTGACTGATGACCTAAGTGCTGCAGCAGATGCCCTTCCACAGGCGGAGGGCAGCTGATCACCAAGAAAAGCGCTGGGAGGAGAAACTTCATCCTAGGCCCCCACGTGGAGCAGAGTGGGCCAACTTGTGAGTCGTGGCTGATGTTTCCAATCCTGACCCGGGCGCTTGGCTGCGCTGCAAGGAAGCCTCTTAGTCAGCCCAGCTTTCTTCTCATCAGGTAAAGCGGTTGGATGCGCAGTTGGCTTCAAACCAGCGTTGCAAAAAACTAGGGCCCTGAACATGTCGAATGAGTTTCGTGTACAGCGCGCAGCGTGCGCTCAGGCCTTGGGATTGTAATGCAGTCCGCACAATCCAAGCGACGTGTGCTGCCAACGCTTGCTAACTGGCTGCGGTTGCAAATAGGTCGCGCGCAAGTGTCTTTTCGGCTTTGCTGTGACAGAAACGGAGAAGTCAGCGCGTGGTGCATTACAGTCTCACCCACAAGCAATGACATTGCCGATGTTCATGCAGCAGTTAATGATGGCCACCGACCATTCCCGCACATCCCTGGGCAGAGGGGTGTCCACGTGATTTGGTCATGTTGTTGTGTGATCAGCAGTGCAACGCAGCTGGTTTTCAGTCTTGAGCGTTTTGATTTTGACCGACTTCAGCATCGCTTTCACCAGCTTCCCTTTATGCATTGCCGGCATGTTTTGCATTACTTGCAACAATTGACCCAGCAATCCCCCACGCACACGTCCCAGTGCCCCCTCCCGGGCACTTCCCAGTGCCCCCTCACACTTCCTCCCAGTGCCCAGCACTTCCCATTCCCCCCTTCCCCCCTCCTGGCACTTGTCAGTGGCTTGGTTTCCGGGCAGTGCCTTGGCACTGCTATCCAACCTCACACATTATGTTTTTCATGTTGACCAGCCCCTGGTTTGCAAAGGCGGGCCCCGAAAATATTCCCGGGATGTTGTTTTCCCCAGTTCCCCATAAAGCAGAACTTGGCCCCAAAAATCTTGCTGGGAATACTCCCACCAATCCCTCAAAGTCGGGCTCAAAAAATCTTCCCGGGAAGATGTTTCCACAATTCACTTAAAGTCGGGCCCAAAAAATCTTCCCGGGAAGATTTTCCCACCAGTCTCTCAGTCAAAGGGGAAGATTTTCCCCGCCAGTCCCTCGGGCCCCCAAAATTCTTCGGGAAGATTCAATATGCAGATTTTGTGCATCCGGCACTGACGCAAGGGGTGGTGTACGCACCACCCCTTAGAACAATCCCCTATGCACAAAATGCGCGCCTTAGAAAAATCTTCCCTGGAAGATTTGACCTAAGGGCACCAAGGTGGGACGTCCCGAACTCTGCATCTTCCCGGAAAAACCTTCCCAAAAAGATTTTTGGGGCCCGACTCTGAGGGACTGGTGGGAAAAATCTTCCCAGGAAGATTTTGTGGTTTTGGGGGCCCATTCGCGCAAATTAGGGGAAGGCTTTCTCTGTGTGTTTGTGACCCGTTTGATGGCCCAGGCTCTCTGGTGATATCAGCAGCAGCAGCAGCAGCAGCATCCTCTGCAATCAGAACCATGTTATCAAGCGTGCAGTGTGTGTAACTTCTCAAACAACCTGGCAGCAATTTGGGCTTAGGGGGTTTGCGTAGCATGGCACTTGTTAGCATTGGCAGCGTGGACCCAGCGGAATGCTGGCCCAGAAGCACTCCAGGAGCGGCACACGCGAGAAGTGTGCACATCGCTCAACAGGAGCTGGCATACCAGATTTGAGCACTTCGAGCAAACACCCTTGAGCCTTGACGAGGGGGCAACAGCAGCATGCTTCAACACTGCAGCCTGTGTGGCGGCCATGACGAATGTTGGCTCCTACTCCTTCAGTGGCAACTTGTGGTGGCACGCAATCAGGTGGCGAGCATTCCCAAGCACGCCAATCAACGAGAAGGGCGTCACGGAGTTGTTAGAGTTCTACTCCAATGGGCCGCAAGTTCTGCCATTCGAAGTCACAGTGGTGAGCGCCAGAGCTTCCCCAGAAGACATTGGGAAGAGGATGGGCCAGCAAACTTCAGAAAACAACAAAGCAGTACGCCCAGGTACTGGTTTTGGCCTTGCGTTGTACTCAATGATGCGCAGTGGCATCGCATGTGGAATGGATGCAAGAAGTTGAGAACCTTGTGTGTTCCGTCCACTCAATACAGAAATGCGCGGCACACAGCCATGTCATTGGCATTAACACGCCGATTGCTGCAAGCAGAATTTAAAACGCGCGCAAATGCGATTGGAATGACTTGGCCTTTGTTCCCAGGACGTGGCACACAATTCTGCATTCACCCGTTCTCAGTTCATTTTCAGAGGCACCTGCAATCAAGCCCACGCCCATCATGACGGATCCACCAGATTCGCCAGATGAATCCAGTCCATGCCCAAGACAAGTCAGAGTCCGCTTACCGTCCTTGTCTTGTGTCAAGGTAAGAAGGACCCAACGTCCGGCAACGCCAAGATTGGCACACTAGTAACTTTGCCTCAAGAAATTGCCTCTGGTAAGCTCTTATCTTGGTGGCTGCTTCCTTCGCCTCTTTCCAATGCGTGCGTGGCGTGATTCTCGCTTGGATGAGTTCAAAGCTATAAGCGTCATTTCATGAAGGGCCACTGAAACATACTTGAGCATGAAATTGATTGCTTTCACTGTTTGCCGGTGGCTTAACACCAGGCTTGTGGCGGCAGCCATGACTGTCTGGTGACACGCCTGTAGCGGATCTGGCAGTGGTGTCGCACGATCCGGGTTGGGTCCTCTTCCAAGACAAACAGGGGCTGGAATATCTTTCAAATGGATTTGAAGACACCATTAGAATCGAGACATCGTTTGGCAGGAACATCTACTGTGTAGGGGGCCGTCTATGAAAGGGGACGAGATTACCATGAACGCTCGCTGTCAGCATGCTTGCTCAACGGCATTCAGGAGGGGAACCCACGCTCTGGAGGGAACTTGGCGTCAAGGAATTCGTCTCGCAATTCGTTTTCGGGGGAGAATTTGGCTTCCGGGAAGTAGCCTTTGGGGGGCAATTCGTCTTCGGGAAGCTGCCTTCGCAACTCGCCTGCGGGAGGAATTCGGCTTTGGGAGGGAGCTTGGCTCCTTCACAATTCCTCTTCGGATTCGTCTTCGCAATTCGCTTTTGGGGTAAGACGCAGACGCGGAAGCCGCGCACCACCATGGCTGCGGACTTAGTTCTGCAGAGCACGCCGAAGTGCTTGCTGATCCACGTGGAAGACGCACGTGGACACAGCAGCCGGGCCTCTGGGCCTGCGTTCAACCTGTGCCGCCAGAGTGGCAGCTTGCATGGCCCCAACTCTGCCGGCCTGCGCCTTGGCCTCGGGTTCTGGGGCGGTCTATCATCCAGAGGGGCGCAAACGTCCCTGCTATTGGTCAAAGGATTTGCAGGTATTTTGTGCGACTTTTGAAAGTTGTCACCCCGAAGAGTCAAAATCGAGCCTGTTTTGGGGGGGCCCTAGTTCTGGACAGCGCCCCCCCAGCATTGAGAGCATATTTCCGGATGATGCGGATGATGCAAGGCATGCTGGCGATGCGAGTCAGAGGGGTTGGGCCAAAATCCGACAAAGAAAAGACAAGATGAAGAGTGCTGGATGGAAACTAAAATAAAGGAAACGTAGGGACATGGAAGAACAGGGACCTGGAGGGAAATGAAGGGAACTGAAGGAAACTCAACAGGTCTGGGTTGTTCAATCTGCTCGCGTTGCCTGGCATGCCTTGGCTTCACTCGGCTTTCTTCCAACTGACAGGCGCTTTGAAAGCAGCTCACGCCTACGGAAAAAAAACAGAACGCGGCAGCCATAGGCCCTTAAGCAGGTCGCATCTAGAGACCTACCTTGACTTCCTGGCGTTCGCCCTGCCTAGCGGAAATAAGGCGGCGTCTCTGCTCTTGCGATTCTTTTGATTGTCTTGCTGAGCTCAAGGGTGGCCGGCTGTTTCGGTAGCGTCTAAATCCGGCCGCGGCCAACTGGCAGAACGGCTGTGTCGGATCCTACCCCTTGGTCCTTATGAGCAAGGGACATGTTTTCAGCTTGATTCCACTCGCAACTCTCACGCCTTCCTTCTTAACTTTTCCAATCGCGGTTTTTCTATACGCGCAAACGCACACACTTTAGGCAGAGCTAACTCAATAAGTTCCAGCACTACCGAAGTTCTTTGACAAGAAACTATACACGGGAGAGCGCGCGCGCTCCTCATAAACAAATGCCCAAGGCAAATCTGCAGCAAACGCTGCCCTGTGTCTGTCACTCCGACGAACCGGTCACACAAAGCAAAAAAATCGTATCACTGCTGAAAGCAATGCAGCCATCGCCGTAAACATCCTACCTCGCAGGCCCCTTGACTTGCTGGCTCCCTATGTTTCACGGTAAAAATCGTGGCGCCAAATGGGAACTCACCTTAAATCTCTTGCCAAAAGAGATTTTCAATGCCACGTTTTCAGCGACAAGAAAAGGACCCCGCGAAACTGAGATGCGTCACAAGTCTAAGTCAGGATGCTTCACCTGAGGCATGACCCAAGTGCACAAAACACCCTAAGCGAATAAGTTAATAATGGCAATCCATCATTGGCGAGCCAAACCCTCGAATCTTTCAAGCGTGGCATTTACCTAAGAGGTCCTCTTGCGGCTGCTTGAAGGTGTCCGAAGGGCCCCCAAGGACCTCTAGCCCCGCAAAAACGAAGAGGCTTCACCCCGCACCTCGGCAGTGGCCCAAGCACGTCTCTCTGCCACCTGCCCAGAATCAAACCACCTGCGACTTCTTGCTAAAACTGCCCCAAACTAAATAAGCTAGGTGCTCATTGCCGCTCACCTGGAACCAAGTGGCAAAGTTACACACGCTCAGCCCATTCTGAAGCCCACGCACCTGACTGACATGCGAATTGCTAGTTTCTGCGGGAAACTTTTGCCTTGCAGAAGCTCAAGGCTAGAACCACAAAGCAGCCCGATGATCCGCAACCGTCGCAAGGCCTCCGCGCGCTCAGCGCTGAGCGCAGCCGCACGCCGCGCCTGGGCGCGGGGCTTACAGAAACTATAGTGTTTGAAGCCGTGCGCAAAAGGCGGCCCCAGGTGAACCCCACCGCCTTGCGCCACTTCACAAAACTGCTTCAACTGTTCGAAGTGGCATCTAGAACATCCTCTAGCTCTGTTGCCCATGTTTGGAGAGAATCTTGAATGGTCATCTCTGAATGATGTTGAGGAAGAGCAAAGGACACCATACTTGTTAAGGCTCCCTATTTTGCGAAACAACAGTTTCTTTCGTTCTGCGCACATGTTGGTTCCCATTAATTTGTTTGCGGTGTCAACGCGTTCCCGCCTTTAAGGCGTGTGTGAAGCACGCTTTTGGGTCGACCCGGCTTGCCCCAGGCTGGGCCGTTGGGCTATGTCCGTTTTGAGGATGTAAGAAGGGCCTGAGAAACAATTTATTCCGCTGCTCAAGGCACGATGCGATAACTCCCTGGAAACCGAGCCTCGAGGTCCTCGAGTGTCTGTGACACTGTGTCTACAATACGAATGCGTGGGAACTTCCAGACCGTGTTTTGGGGGCATGGGCGGCGTTATGTTTGCTTTGGGCTGAACGCTAGCAAAATGCTGAAACGACACACACACACATGTGGCAGCGCCCTTTTCTCGACATCTTTGGGAAGTTACAATGTGTCCAACTTGGTAGTGGCTCGAACAACGTACTTTGTTTGTTTGTTTGATTGGTTGGCTGCTTGTTTGTTTGTGGTTTGTTTGTTTGTTTGCCTGTTCGGTTGGCTTTGACTGCTTGGTTGTTTCATTACGTTTCTTTCTTGGTTGTTTTTTGATTGATTGACTGTGAGTTTGGTTGGTTGGTTGGTTGGTTGTTTGTTGGTTTGTCTGTCTGTTTGTTTGTTTGATTGTTTGTTTGTTTTTGTTTGCGTGTTTGTTTGTGTGGTTGTTTGCGTGTTGTTTTTGGTTTGTGTTTGTCTGTCTGTCTGTCTGTCTGTCTGTCTGTCTGTCTGTCTGTTTGTTTGTTTGTTTGCTCGTTTGCTTGTTTGTTTGTTTGTTTGTTTGTTTGCTTGCTTGTTTGTTTGTCTGTGTCTGTGTTTTGTTTTTTGTTTGTTTGTTTGTGGTTTGTGTTGCTGGTTGGTTTACTTGTGTGTTTGCTTGTTTGTTTGTTGGTTGGTTTGTTTGCTTGTTGCTTGTTCTTACTTGTTGCTTGCGCTTGTTTGCTGACTTGTTTTGCGTGCTTGTTTGTTTGTGTTTTTGTTTGTCTGTTTGTTTTCTCGCTTGTTTGTTTGTTTGTTTGTTTGTTTTTTGTTTCTCTGTTTCTCTGCATGTTCGCTTGCTTGTTCGCTTGCTTGTTTGTGTTAGTGCTTAGTGTGTTGGTTTGTTTGTTTGTGTGTGATTGTTTCTTGTTGCGCTTGTTTCTTGTTGCGTTTGTTTTCTTGCTTGCACGCTGGGTTGGCTGGTTGGCTGCCTGGTTGCCGCAACGAGGGTTGGTTTGTTCGATTGTTACTGGTTAGTTTGCTTGTTTGGTCGTTTGTATCTGTTTGTGTTTGTTCGTTGGTTGATTCGCACCCTTGTTCGCGCTTGTTTTTTTTGCTAATTTTGTTTCGCTTGTTTGCTTGGTTGGTTGGCTGGCTGACTCACCGAATGTCAGGCTTGTCTTAGGCGGCGACTGTTCGAAGCAAGGTGTGTTATTTGATTTGCTTGTTTGCTGGTTGCTTGTTTGTTTGTGTGTTTGTTTGTTTGTTTGATTGTTTCTCTGTTTGTTTGTTTCATTGTTTGTTCGTTTGTTCGCCCGCGTGTTTGCGCGTTGTTTTTTTGCTTGCCTGCGCGCCTGCCTGCCTGCCGTTACGCCTCTTGGGGATGTTTGCCTGGCTAAACTATACTGAAACAGCGATGGGAGCTGACCAGGAAAACCGAGCTGCACAGCAGCCACGCAGTCGCGCTCTGTCCCAACACTAACGGCATCACCAGCACCAGCAGGAGAATACAGGGCGCAGGACTTGCGTGGCACGCCACCAACCAATATCTCTTTCCCCAGCCGGCTATTGACCTCCCAGATCAAGCGGTTGATGCCAAAAATATGACTTTTTAAACAAGTTGGAAAGTTTGAGGCATTCAATCCCCCTGCGGCGCAGGCCTCTTCAGCGCCGCGCGCTGCCATCTGGCTGTTCTCCTCCGGTCAAATGTACGACGTGCGCAGAGGTATTGCATACCCCGTTCAACATGCAACCCTGGGAAGGTACTGGGCAGGTACCTCTTTTGCCCCGCCGTATCCTATACGAAAAGTGCGGCGGTAAAAACGAACTCAAACACAATTTGACAGCTCATCTCCCCATTTCAATTGTCATAGGACTCTGACATGGCCCCTCGGCGTTTTTTGCAGGGTCCCCTCCAACTCATAAAGGAAGAGGGCGGGTCGGCGTGGGGGCTGAGTTTTTCAGATTCCTGGGGGCTGAGTTTTTCAGATTCCTGGGGGCTGAGTTTTTTGGGGGGCTGAGTTTTTCCATTAAAAACACTTAGAAATACCAAAAATATAAGATCAAGACCCGTGACCTCTTAGATTTATTGGGGTGTGTTTTTGTTTTTTTGGCTGATGACATGCAAGCACAGATTCATTTTCGATCCAATGAAGACTCAGATGCATCCAGACCTGGAAAATGAGCTAGCTTCAATCTGCACAGAAGACAGCCTGTTGAGAACTATTTTGCACAAATATCATTGTTGGACACAAATAGTTAGCAAACGTGTGTCTGTAGCTTATTTTTGGATAATTGGCATGCTTACGCATGCCAAGTTTATAAACCTCAGGGTGCTAACTTTTGGAAGACGTATGTTTGGCACAAATCTTCAACACAAGTTGCATACGTATGCAATATTTTGGAAGACGTATGCTTAGCAATCTGCAAGCAGATGTATGTTTGGGACAAATATTATTGTTGTGTTGCAATTCTGAAACACGTAAGTATGGCAAGCACAGCTTGCCACGCATATGAAATCATAAGAAAGGTAAGATATCGCTGATCTATGCAGCTTTCAGCTGCAAGACTCAGCTCTTTTTACAATTGGATGTTCATTTTTTCAATTTACGCATGGGCTCTGCCCAGGCTCTTGAGAAAAGACAGCTAACACAAACATATTTATCGCATAATGAGCTGGAGCAATTGGAGCACAGCTCCAATCTAGTTGCTGGAGCTCAAGAAGCACAAGATGCAAAGATGAGCACCTGCAACGATATCTGCAGATGCAAATAACATTCTCTGCATAAAGCTGTTCAGCTTTGGAATAAGAGCTTTGGAATAAGATTCTCTGCCGCTATTCGTGTTGCTGAAGAGCTCTTGCAACAGTAAAGCTGTTCAGGATAGATTCAAGTAGACACAAGCCACAAGCAATTGCGTGTGATGAGATGTTACCTGCAGAAGATGAAATGAGAGATGAGATAAATTATCTCCAGTTACCTGGAGTTACCTGCAGAATATCTTGGAAGAGGCTTATGTTCTGTTGAATTACATCTCATCATATTATTGATGTCTTGCATCAAGAAAGCTTGCATCAAGAAAGCATCAACAAAGTATTGTCTTCAGATGATGGGCTGTGTTTTTGGTTTTTTGGTTTTCTTGGTGTTTATGAGCGAAGGCACCAAAAACCAAAAAAACAAAAACAGACCCATGGCCCTGAACTAGCAGATGCAGATGATGGGCTGTGCTTTTTTTGTTTTTTGTTGTTTGCTGAAAAATCTCAGCCCCCAAGAATCTGAAAAACTCAGCCCCCAGGAATCTGAAAAAACTCAGCCCCCATGACGACCCCGTCTGTAAAGGAAACAGCATCTAAAGCCCTTCCCTCCATACGGGTTTTTGGGTGATGGTCCCAACCAGGGCAGGTTTCACCCTTTGCCTTTGGGTATTGGAAATCACGGAACTCAACAAAGGCGCTCAAAGGTGCCTTTAAGGAAACTTGCAACTCAAGTGGTAATTAGGTGAGGAACAGCATTGGTCTCAACTTGCCTCCAGCTGCTGGCATCTCGCCTGAAGCGCTTGAAGCTCCTGCCGGCTGCGCGGGCGATGAAGTCGAGAAGGGTCCACTCCACTGGACATGGAGAGCTCCCTGTTTATTTTCCCTAGAAGGCTGCGCGACTCACTGACCCCATCAAGGGTTTCTTACAGGAGTGAGCGAAGTTTCCTATACTCTCATCCACAAGCGGTACGGGCAGCCTCCTTGCGGGCGTCGTGGAAACTACTTCAAGCAAGGGGTAGATGGCGCGCACGTTGTTGAACTGTGCGCCAGCCTCGTGCGTCAGTCCGCCACGCCCATCCATCCTTCGCGTCGGCCATGGATTTCGCTCTCCTTGCATCTGAGCTTGAAGTTGGCACGCAGTGGCCAAGTCGTCGCAACAGTTGGCAGGCCATTCTTCTCCTTAAGGGACCGGTGTTCATCGCCGGCAACGCTCTTAAGTGTTGCCTCAATCACTGCGGCCTGGTGAAGAAGAGCTGGCGCGCTGGAGATCAGCAGCTACTCTGATCCTTCGCTTGGCAACGACGAGCCTGGCTCCTCCACTCATGCGCCAACGGGCTTGTGGTTTCTTTGTCAGACCCAACCCTCCACACCTCTTTCATCATAAGCAGGCTGCGCTGTCCTTCGCGCCCCGGCCGCTGTCAAGTACGCACATCCGGCCTGCGTGGTCGCCTGCCGAAAGCTCTGCGGGCACGCAGGCAGGGTGCCAGACTCTTGTGTCAAGGTCAAGCAGAGGAAGCCGCACGGAGCGGGTTCGACAAGAAGCTGTCTGGCGCAGTACGTCAGCATGGATGACGTCAATGTTGAGGAGCTGGGCGGGAGAACGCGTCGCTTCTTCGAGTCGAGGCTGTTGTGGGGCCATCGGCAGATGAGCCGATCTTGCGTGGGCCCACTTCGTGGCGCGACGTAGCGGGTACTGGCATGCAAATCCACTGCCCCGTCTTCCTACCCCAGGATTCATCACCCTGCCAAATCTGGCGCTCTTGCATCCCAGGCTCGGCCCCCGACACTTCTGCGAGCCTCCATCCAGCAAACCCCGCAAGGGACATGCAGCAAAATTGCTTCGCTTGCATATCTGGCTGCGCACATCTCCCCTCTTCCACCAGGATCGCCACCAGCGCGCCGCGCTTCTGTCAGGTGCCTGCGGGTTTTGCAACACGCTGACGAGCGATCGCCTCCCCCCACCATCTTCAGGCCGCATCCAAACTCCCCGCCCGTGCCAAATTGCGGGACTTGTCTGGCTTCGGAGCATCCTTCAAACACTGGCAAGAAGTTAGTGGCAAGTTCAACGCTGATCCTCGCGGCCTTCACAAGTTCATCCAGCAACCATGCAAGGGGCACGCAGCGTGACATGCTGTGGATGTGGCAGCACTTTTCTCGTTGAACGCTCAGTCTTCCTGCCTACTGGCAGGAAGTCCTTTTGGGGGGAAGCCGGAGTGGGACTCTGCTCCGAGGCACCTGATTAAACCGAATTGAAGCCATGGGAATCCACATGGGTGTGCAGAACCAATGGGCCTATGGGCTGAATTTGCTGGCGGCCTCACTTGCAGGTCTGAGATCTCGCGAAATTCTGCGCGCCTCCAAAAGCTGGGCACCTGCCACAATCAGAAAAGCAATAAATGTGGCAACGCAAGATGAGACACACTGCTACCGTAGCACTGCAGGTCCAAAAAACCTCCACAAACAAGCATGCCTCTTTTGCAAACCCTGCAAAGACTTTCGTGAGCCCCACCTTCGCGCAATGGTTTGTGTTCGGTGTCGTGGGTAGAGAGAGAGAGAGAGAGAGAGAGAGAGAGAGAGAGAGAGAGAGAGAGAGAGAGAGAGAGAGAGAGAGAGAGAAAGAGAGAGAGAGAGAGAGCGAAAGAGAAATAGACAAAGACAGAGATAGAGACTACGGAAAACAAAGAAATAAAGACGGAAGAAGGGAAAGAAAAAGAGGAACGACAAAGAGACAACGACAGAGCGAGAGAAAAGCAGTCGGGAACGGAAGCGGGCTCCAATCTGTAGTCTTATATGATGGCTGAACCCCCTTGCTACAACAGGAGCCAGGTGGGAGGAAACACAATGTTCGCTAAGTTGCCGTCGGGCGCGCGTTAGCTGGTTTCAACACGAGGGCTGGATGAACATCACCTTGTTACGCCTCTTCTCAAAAGCAGGCTGAGCGGACGCTTCTCCTCTACCGCGACTTGCTGGACAACAAGCAGCTGCAGAAGGAACACAGTGTTTCCTCAGGTCAGGGGAACACAAATGTGTCTTCCCAGTTCTCCAATCATGGGAGAACTCATCGAGGCGCTGCTCCAGTCCAGCAGTTTGCTGAGTCTACCTCCTGCGCACATCTCACACTTGCTTCGCGCGCTGCTTGGAGACACTGTCGGGTTTGCGCGCGGCAAAATCGTTGCGCGCTGTTTTGCATCTCCGAAAAAGAACCTCAAACTTAGAACAACAGAGAGAAAGACTAAGGAACATTCCAGCCACGCGCGCGACGGTGAAAACAACTCGCCATGACCTTTTATCGTCGCAGAGGCGGCAATTCAGGACCCCTACCTTCGAGCAGGGCTGCGCCGGGAACGACCAACTGAAGTCTTGCAAAGGGTGCCACGAAATCACCTTGTGTTGGCCCTAGCGACTTTCCCAACCTGAAGATTTGAAGAAGCTTGCAGAAGCGTCGGAGTACGAAGTCAAGCAGCTAAGACTGCGCCTTCAAGAAGCCGAGGCCCGGCAGCCGTTTGGCAGGCGTGCACATGCGCAGCGCGAAACCGGCGCGCTACCCAACGAATCCGTCAAGACAATTAGAGAGTCCCACGGTAAAAATTAACTTTCACGGCAATTCTCATTTCGCGGCAATCAGTGACTTCTTAATTGACTTGCAAAATTAACTTTTCACGGCAACGGCAACGGCAACGGTAAAAAAAACGCGGCAACAAAAACGGCAACGGCAACGGCAACGGCAATTTTGGAAGTAGTTACTGCGAAACTACTGCACTGGAGCTAATTCCGCAGTAGTTTGGCAGTAGTTTGGAACTAACTACTGCGAAACTACTGCGCTGGAGATAATTTCGCAGTAGTTTGGAAGTAATTACTGCGAAACTACTGCACCTTGGCAAACAGCCACGGCAACAGCCACGGCAATTTCCCCGTTAAAAAAATAACTTTTCGTGGCAACGGCAACGGCAACGGCAACGGCAACGGTAAAAAAACTGCCCACGGTTAAAATTAACTTTCACGGTAAAAATTGTCTTTGCCCCCGCTAATTGTCTTGACGGATTCACAGGGTAGAGCAGGCGCGCGTGCCATCTGGCAGTTGCAGGGGCAGTGCTGAGCGGTTGCGCGTGAGCGGGTGCGCTTACATTCTGGCGGGCGTGCGTGCGCAGGGCTGAGCCGGCGCGCTTCAGCGCGAGCGAGAACTATCTCTGAGAAGCCGCGCTTTCGCGGGTGTGCGTACGGCTTGGCAGGCGTGCGTGAAGCGTTGAGCAGGCGCCTTTTTTGAGCGGATGGAGGGCGTGCGCGTAGCGCGGAACGGGCAGGCGCGTACCATGAGGCAGGCGCATCTGCGCAATGCTGAGCGGTGAACTTGACCTACCATCTGGTCTGCAGTGCTACCAAATGGCACGCAAGCATGTGCAGCCCTGAGTGTGTAAACTTGAGAGGACGCGCTTGCTACTTGGCAGGCGCACGTGCAGCGCTGAGAACGCGGGCTGCTTGTCATTCTGAGAAGCGCGCTTCGGCGGCTGCGCCTACCCTCTGGCGCGCGCCTCTAAGCGGGCACGCTTGAGGCATCTGGCAGGCGCGCGCTGGGCAGGCACGCTGTTTGTCATTCCGCAGGCCCTGGCATCGGTCCACGGGAGGCGAGGGTTGCTTTCCCCCAACTGGCAACTTCCCACGCGCCTGATATTAGATCTCAATATGTGCGTGTGTTTCCTTTAAACTGTGAAAAACAATCTTGTCAACTCGAGACGAGACACACACCCACACCCACGCTTCTTAGACGTATCTCGCAAGCTCGCAGGTTGCCGCGCCTGCCAGCCCCTCTGCGGCCTCACGCAGCTGGGGCGCAAAGAGAGGCGCCCGCGTGAAAAAGGGAACTGCAAAGCCGCCGCTCTGAGTCTATGTTGTGGTCAGTACTGCCAGCGTAAGGCTCTTGTTAAGTGTTGTGGTCTAAGCATCAGAAATTTTTGCTTCTCAGATCACGCTCCTTGAGCTTTGCTTCTAAGCTGCGCTGAGGAAAGGCATGGAAGGCGTTGAGGGAAAGGCGGCCACCTTCAGCAAGCTGAGGCTGCACGCCTCAGAGCATGCTCATTCTGAACTTCTTGCTGCGCAAAAAAACAGGCGAGAGCAAGCAAACTTGAAAGATGAAGACTGGCAGGGCTTCCTCCTCTCAAACCTGAGCTGCCAGTGAAGCAGAGCAGCCTAGGTCAGGCTCCTAGGTCAGGCTTAGGTTGGTGTCTGAGACGCAAGAAAACTTGCCCGCTAAGTACTTAATCGGTTACGTATGCTGGTTGTGCGTCAGGAACGCAATCTCAGGCCCTTTTTTAAAACAACACGAGGTAACATCTCACTGAGAGAATGCAAGGCAGCGAGAAAGACAGATTTGTGAGAGGAAGAGGCTCAGCAGCATTTGGAGGGTATCTCAGGTTGTTTACGGTGGCCCTGCAAGGCACCGCGGCACGTGGAAGCACGCTGAGCTGCTGCCGAGATCCTGCCTTGGTAGCAGGGCACTGCCGAGCAGCATTCTGGCTACACGCTTGTTGGGCTACATCTGCATTGGTGGGGCCCCACGCGGTGGCTGGACCTTCTAAGTTGGAGTAAGGATTGGCCCACCGCAATTGCTTGAGGATAACACAGTAGCCCAGTTTGTTTGCAAGACTTGGGTTTCAGTTGAGCCTTTGAGCAAACCATTTAGCAGCAAGCAGGGCTAAGCTGCAAAGGCGCAAGTTTGAGTTGGCACCCTGATGAAGCAGTTGATGAGGAGGGGTGGCTCAGTTCAATATCTGAGAGGCTTGCCCACATCGAGCTCAGCAGCTGGCTAGTTAACAACTTAGTTTCAGCAAACACTCAAGCCATTCACTTTTTAAAACTCAGCAACGGACACTGGTCAAGAAAATAAGCATTTGTGTGAGCATTTTGACTCATCTGACTTTGAGGCAAGGGATTTAGGATTTGCTGCTGGGCTTGGGGCGACTTAGCGTGTGGCGCCATTGCTGCTGTTGATGCTCAGGGGCCTCTTGTTAGCTGAGATTGCTTTTCCAACATCAAGTACACCCAGGGCCAGTGGTTTTTAATTGCATGTTGACGAAGACGGTCTCGTTTGACAGCCCGCAAGGTTTTGGGGAATCTCGCTCTGAATATTGCGTTTGCCCTGGGTGGGGAGATAAATAAAACTGCTGGACTTCCTTGTTCTGAATCGAGCCTTTTAGAATCTCGTGGGTGGTGGTCCAGAAAATTCGCCTTTTTAGGTTATGGCCACACAGCATCTACCCTTGGCGACATCGAAGGGGTGCCATAAGTAGCATTCCGTCGCCTCCGCAATCCTAACGGGGCTTCGGCCTTTCCCTTCAAGACGGTGTCCAATCGATTACTTCCACCCTTCTCTGGAGGTATCCGGTTCTGGTGTGTGATGCAGAACTGCAGCGACGACTCTGGATATTTTTCTTTTTTGGGAGAATTAGCAGCATTTGTGCTCTCAGCCACTGGGTTTTTCTCTTCGGTTCTGAGGAGCTTCGCCAGCGCCTTCGCATTACGACGCGTGGCAGAAATACCAACATACCTCTGGTAATTGAACACCGTAGGAACAATCTGCATATGCCATGTTGATGGTCATCATAGCGCATCACAGTCTGCGTCTACTGCGCAAAGTTCTTGAGGTCATCATAGCGATCTCCGACGCGGCCCCAGACCTTGAAGAGTTGCAAGACGCAGGCTCTGCGGGAGATACTGGAACTTCGGTCTGATGTTGTTTATGGAACGACATCATCTCAGATAGAACCAAGAAACTGCTGAAATGAATGAATCTGCAAAGGACACAAAAGGATGGTCTTGTGGAGTTCTTCTTCTTCTTGAGCATGGTCGCTGAAAGAAGTTGGCGTGTCACATGAATCTTCACCTCCATAATCTGGTTCTTCGTCGTCTGGTTCGTCAGTGGCGTGGATAGATTCTTGAGGCTCTTCTGGTTCGTCATCCTCGAGATCGGATTTTTCTCGACCAGTTTGATAGGATCTTCGTGCTGCTCTCCCTCGGAATCTTCTCTGTTTTCGGGTTCGTAGGCTTCTGTTCGGGTTCAACCATCTCCCCGTCCTGATCGACATCGGACTTTGCCGACTTTTCCTCTTCCAACCCTCCAACACTGGACTTGGATTTGGGTCCAGATCTCTCAGTTCTTCTAGGCCTTCCTGGAGGATTCCTCTTTTCCGAAATCACCTTGTTGCGCCGATGAAGGCGGGATGCCTGGCGAAGAACTCGGTCCTGAGGAGATCAGAAGTGGCGGAAGATCGTTCGATGATGCTGCTGGTACTGATGGTTTGGCTCCCCGTGGGCCGTCCTTGTTCTTCTTGCGCTTCTTCGCTGGTGTTTCTGCTTCTTGAATTTCATCGTCGTCGTCCTCAGGCACTGGTGGAAGTGAAGGTTGAATTTGTTTCGGCGAAGGCGCGGCAACTGTCGGTCGAAAGAAACGGGTGCATCTGGGCGCACTCCCTGTGACTGGTGTTGGCTGTGTGTCAGGCGTTGCCTGTGGCATTGGTACATTGGGGGTGGATGGTGGGTCTGGTCTTGGCTTGAAGCATGTCCTGATCAGGCTGATGCGGCCCGGGCGGATCATTGCCGTCATCACCGCCGTGGTCGCCTTCACGGCAGATTGGCGTGGGCCGGATCGTCGGTGCTTCCTAAATGACATGCGGTTCTGTGAGAACACTGGCGCGTGCCACTACTCACACCTGTGTCAAAGCCCGCCCGGTGTGTTAACTTGCCACAAAAATACGCACGCGTCATCTGGCAGTGTCGTCAACGGGTGGCGGGAACTGCTTGATGGCTCGTTGAAGCTTGTCGTCCATATGAGGTGGGTCTTTCTGATTATTGAAAGGTAGATCCTGAATCTTCGTACGAGTGCTGGTGCTAGTAGTCATGTTGTACTCCGCATCGATCTTGTCCAACTCTGCTGTTCAAAAATATCCGTCAGGAATCTGCGGAGAATATGCGACATCTCTTGACAGAATGACAACGGATATATCTGGGGAAGTCTGGTACGACTGCCCTGGTTCTTAGTGTTGCCTTCAAGAGGCTGATGTCGGCGCCTGCCTTTCCTTGCCAAAGGTAGCTGGAGCACCTTCCGAACATTGGTCTCGTGACCTCCTTAGGAAGATTGTCCGTGCTGTCAGGAGCACGAAGACTGAATGCATCCCAAGTGACCTGAGCATGTCTCACCAGCTCCATGATGGACTTAAGAGTTCATATCTTGGATGTCTGTCGCTCATGGAAAATTTCCAATAACAGCTGACGCCCTTTTTGACGTCACCGTGTCAGAACCAACTGGAATGTTGATCGGTACGCCAACCTTTAAGCCTGTCAACGCCCAGCGTTGACTCATTCGAGCACTTCCCGCGAATACCTCCAAGACATGGGTCTTACCTTTAGTCACGCAGTTCCAAATTTGCAAACTGAGCTTCACAGCTGGAATCCTCGGTTTCTAGACCTGACAAAGGAAGCTGACGCTGGTTCTGCGGAACTTGGTGGATCTAGTTTTGTCTTTTTGGTTATTCGCTTGGCTTTCTCCTGACTTGGCTTGTTCCATGCGATCTTTACGAAGATCATCATCGGAGAATGGCAGGCCAAATCCCGGCTTGGACGGCGACCGGGTTTCGTCTTTCCTCAGCTTGGTGATGTGGACCTTGAGCAACCTGATTCCAAGTTCTATGCCTATTAACTTGCCTTTTAACCACACTCCTCCTTTCGAGCCGTCAAGTCCAGGAGAATCTTCTATCGCCAATCACGATCAGGTGTTGCGCGGGGTCTCGTCGGGCATCTTCAGATTGTCGAGCTTCCTGATAAAAGTGTTGCGCAAGTAGTCGAACCTGTCCAGCCGTCAACTCTTCTCCCGTTTTAGGAGCTGTGAGTTGTGGTGGTGTAGCTGTGTCCAGTTGGACAAGCTCTGCTGGACTGCGTCCAAACGGTAGCTCGGGTAGAGCGCCTCCTCCGTGTGTCACGGAGAGGTTTCCTGCGGTCGCTGCTGCTGCCTTCACACGTTGCTTGTAAGTTACTGGCTTCTGTGAGGCTGGTGCTACGCCTGCCTTTATGGAGTTCAGCATGAGGGGGGCTTGTCTCTTGATGAGACGCACTGCGGTTCGGCCATCAAGGTGTCATGTGACCTAACAAGACAGATTAAAGACTGTTGTAGAAGGTCACCCAGTTCTCTGTCACGAACGCTTGGTCTCGAACGACACATTTCGGCTGAAGATGATATTGATCAAGATAGTCAATAACACAGGAGTTTTGGTGACATCAGCTGTTCTCTCTACCACTTCTGTGGAAAGAAGTGTTGTGGCTCTGTCCACGACAACATTGATGCGCTCACCTGTTCCTAAGGGAGCTTGGCAGTGATCAAGGAATGTCAACACACCAAATGCTTTGGTCTGAGGCTGCTGGTCTTACTACGGGTTGGCGCTACGGCAGCCTTCGTAGAGATTGAAAATCTCCTTTGGCAAATGTTCTGCTGACATGTGGCGATGTTGCAGGCGCAGTTCCCTTAAAACTCTTCTGGCTTGGAAAGTCGTGTGTGTTTGCGTCGCGGCGCGAGTGGAAGTGTAGCTGGTGGCGCTGTGGGAGCATCTGACGACGCTTCTTGTTGTGGAGCAGCAGGGCCTTTTGGCTCAGCGGCATGCCGGCCTGGTGCTGGAATGATCCTGTCTGCTGGTTCGTCAATATGAGTTTGCTCCGCTGCAAGCGGTTTGTGAGAGAACTTGAAGATTGTGCGTCCTGCTCACAACTCTGGAATTTCTCGGCGGTGTTGCCTTTATTCGCAACGCATCTTCTCTTGTGTGGGATATTGGACAAGCTTTGCTTGTGTCAGACGCGAACAGCGCTCTCCACACTCCACTCAACGCCACGCCACGCCACTCCGCTCAAGAGCCAAAGTGGTCGGGACATTTTTGCAAAACATAGATGGCACAATTTGTTTGACCGTCATTTCGTTGTCACCCCGTCGCCACCCGTCGTCACCCATCAAAAATGACACTTTCTGTCCGTCACGCATCCCGTCAAAATACTCGAAATCTCTCTCACATGTCTATTGAAAATCGATAAAATAAGAACCTTTGGTCCACCAGGCACTTTGGCCCCAATCATCCTGAGAAGGGTCTGCCTGTCTGTCGGCAGGAGGCTGCGCGGCTTCCTGCGCTTCGGCATTATGATCTACGGCGAAGGTTTTGGTTTTGCCTTCTCCTTTGTCGCCCTTGCCTGGATCATTTGTTGCGTCCAAAGATTGTTGAGGGGTGCCCCTTTCCCTTTTTGGTACCAAGGTCGCTTTCCTTTCTTACCCCAGTAGGATTGATCGGTGGTGCTCTTCGGCGCTTGCCCTTGCCTTTCTTTCCTTTTCCCCCCTCCAGGCTTAAGAGTCCGACGGCATCATGGCCCTCCAGCTGCCAAAATGCTTCTTCATCGTCTAATGGACAAAAGCCCTCTACGCCATCTTCGTCCTCTACCCTGAATCCTGCTTCTCCTTATCTCCTTTCCCCCCGAGGACAAGGAAGGTCTTGGGTCTGCCTCCGCCACTTGGACGGATATTTGGATCCTGAAGAGATGTTCTGGAACAATGCAAAGATTATTCTACTGGGCCTTGATGGTTATGTGTAGTGAGGGAGCTGAATACCTCTAAGCGTCAAATGAAGAGACCAATCTTGCTCACTCACTCTGTATGATGGAAAACAATGTCAACATTGTTGTCTGACAATGGGAAAGCCTGTGAATGCTCTTGTTTCTTACCTCGCGCAAACCTCTCAAAGTTTTCTGGCGGTGCTGCACCGAGGTAAGTTGGATCGGGCACTATGGGTGCTGCGGCTGCTTGCGGCAGACCCTGCGTCATCCCTGCGATCTCAGCAACTCTCTGATCATGCTGATCGCACGTTATGTGAATCCGGGCGCTGTATCTTCCCAAGATGCTAGCAGCCTTTGCAGGAGAATCTCGAATCTGCTGATAAAGGTCACGAATTCAGAATTCCTCGGCGATGATTGAAGAGACTGAGGAATCTATATAGGAAGACATTCGAAGTGCCTTTCAGCAAATATCCGCGAAGGAAGTTGGGAAAATACTCCACACCATTGTCTGGCTCTATAGGTTTCCCATTGTCCAATGATTCGCGGTGTGTTGCTGCATCCTCAACAAGACGGTTCTTGAGGAGCGGGCCTTGTCTTGCGGGCTCTATAACCGTGAATGTCATCCAATCCTGCGCCAGATCTTCACACCGAAACCAACTAACACGGCCGTCACACGATGGAGGCAATGTTGCACTCATCGAAAGATTGACGACGGCTTCCTAAGAAAGCCGCTGCGGGTGGCTCTGCACCATAAAGGTCCTCTTCACTTGGCATCTTGCGTTCGAAGAACCTGCTCCGCTACCACAATTGAGGTGGTAGACATGGGGGCCTAATAGGGCCAGCAATGCGCTTCGCAGGTTCTCCAGGGAGACCTACTGCGACGCAAGAGGAACAAATCTGACCGCAAAAAGAAATAATTTAAGGCAGCGTTTGGTCCAAGAAGGGCCAAATAATGGGAGTTCCACAAGCAGCAAAGCGATGGCTCCTTTTACACTGGAGCTGTACACCAGGCCTTGAGCCATACATACAAGAGATTGCTTCATGAGTGGATCGTGTGACACAAGCGCCCAACAAAACAAGAAACAGCAAAAGAGAACTTGATCTGCACTTGATCTACTCCATGGTAGGTAGCTCTGGCGCAAGCGATTGCGTGGGAACGGTGGGAACATCAACTGCGTCTCGATCGCAGGGGCGGAAGAGGGGGATGCGGATCGCCTGGGCGCCCCGCGAAGTCGGAAAGGATTGTCCCTAAGAATTGAGGTTTTTGCCACTCACACGATTGACACTGTTACCCAAGTTTACGTTCTTCCCCCGCGCGGTTCCAAATAGCACTCAAAAGAATCAACCGCTTTTTCTGAAAGTTTTGTTCTAAGAGCCCCAACCGCGCGCCTCGAAAGGTTCGGGTGGCCGGCCGCGCCGCTTCACCTCACCCCATCTCCAAAACTTTGCGCGTCTTGCCCATCTCTCCATGTTCCTTTCCCCACCTCGTAAGCTTTCTAGCAGGCTGCCATTAAAATGGGAAACCGCAAGAAGCCACCAATTCCAAACGGGACAGCCAACTGAAACAAAACCGCTTGCACACACCTCTGGAAACGATTGCGTGCCAGTAGTGCAAGCCTCTTGTTTGATTGACCAAGCACACGTTTGCCGAGAGGACAAGCTGCATGGAAAGTGGAGGGCCCGTAACCCTGGATGATTGGTGAGCCCGGAAGAAGCGTATAGACTGCTGAAAATGTGACGGAACCTCCTGCTTTTTGGCTCTTAGGGCAAATGCGCACACACCCTCCTTGCAGGGTCTCAATCAATCCAAGCCATATCTGTTTCGCACACGGGAAAAGGTGCCATTAAGGCGGCAAGGGCTTGGAGGCCCCGCGCCAGGGCAGCGCCTCTTGGCGAGGAATTGTTGTCTACCCTAAACTTTAGGGTGGCTCTAGGCTTGGCCAAGTGTTTGATTTTGTGGGTGTTTTAAGGCGGGCGGACGCAAGGTTGGTTTGAGTCGGTCTATAGGTTGGTGTCCGGTAGGCTTAGGGTGGTTAGTTTAGAGTAGGGCGGGTTTAAGGCCTGGTTACATTGGTTTGGGATTGGCCTTAGAAGTTGCGGCACACGCCGTGCACAACTGCACACACGCCTGCCAAACGATAAGCGCGCCGGTTCAACACGCCTGCTAAAGCTGGCCTGCAAGCGACTTTCGCGTTGAAGAACTTGCGGTCTGAAAGCAGTGGCCGTAAAAAAAGGTGTGCAACGGTGCTATTTTTAGAGGTTTAGGGCTGGAATTGATTTCGGGTTCCTTCAGGCTGGTTTGGGGTTGGTTCAAAGTTGCTTTCTGGCTGGCTTGGGGTTGGTTTAAGGTTGGCTTCGGCTCGTGCGGGAAAGGCTTGCCTTAGGGCTGGCTTGGGGTTAGGGTTCTTGTTTGCTTGCTTGCTTGCTTGCGGTCGGCTTAGGGTTGTGTTGGGGCTGGTTTAGGGTTGCTTCAAAGTGGGTTCGGGTTTGGGTCGCTGCGGGGATCCAAGAGAGGCTAAAAGACACTAAACTACATAGTGTAGAGCCCGAGGCGCCAATGTATCGCTTTTGCATTTGAGCCGGTCGAGTAGCAAACTCTTGGGATCCTGCAGATTGCGCCAAAGGGTCGTTATTCGGCGGCTGGGTTCCAAAATAGCAGCCGAGGCGCGCCGCAATGACAGTTTAAGCCGCAATCGGCTGCGCCTGCGCAAGATGACGACATGCAATTTCCAAGGCCAAACGCTTGTCAAGCTGGATCTATCTATTTGTAGAGAACCCAGTGTCGTATAGGGCGCGCCGAGTTCAGTTGCATGAGTGCAAAGCTGTGAGCGCAAGCGAGCGACGCAAGTATACCTTTTAAACTGCAACCTTGGCAGCCAACAAAACGAGAACAGGCGGGAGGGAGGGAGGGAGGTTACTTCACACACCTGCCCTGATAGCTTGTGTCTGCGAAAAGGCAAGCCTTGGGATCAATCGACCCAATCCTAAGAAAGAATGGCGCACGGACATTCTAAAGATTTCTGAAGCAACTCGCCCGCCTCATCTGCCGTTAGCTTGTAAGGGCCCGCAAGTGGCGCAACCTTTGGGGGGCACTTCGGCACCATGGACCCTTTCGACGCTTTTGCATTTTCCCGCCATTGTCCTCAATGCGTTTCCTCTTTTCCCACTATCATCAAGGTACTCGTAAAGGCTTAGGTTCTTTGATTATTGGCGCCAAAGCCAAAAGTTATCACAACTCTCGCGTTGTTTTCTTGGATAGCGCCCAGGCCGTCGGCGCTTTTCTAATAGCCTTCCACTCTCACTCTGCGAAAAGGCGCAGCTCAAAATAAGGGATTGCTACGCAATTCCCGGTTGTTCATTCGCTCACGATTGGGCTATCATTGGTTTCACGGCCATTTGAGGTTTTCAAGGGTTCGCACGCTGGACGAGTTTAACTCACGAAGTTTCAACTCCAAAACTCTCACGGATGCGTGGACAGGTCATAGTGGCGTTGAAGCATTTGAGCGAATTCGGGGCGAACGAATGTAAGAGAGTGGAAGGCTTTAAAGGGTTAACTTGGACATGCGTACAAACGTCTTTTAGGGGGGTGTGCACCTTTTTTCGCCGTGAAACCATGGGCACGAGCAGAAATGGCCGCGAAATTCCGCGAATATCCGTAAATTGGCCGCGAAAACCACCACAGCTGGCCGCGAAATGTTTCTTAACAAGCGAAAATGCGAATTCCAAGATTCACGAAAGTTCACGCAAGTTCACGCAAGTCACGCCCCCCCCAAACAAAAAAACGGAAAAAACGAAAAACAAAATCGGGGGGCGCCAGTCCTGAAATTTCATAAGTTCACGCCCAAAATCGGCCAACCACAATCCCAGAGATGGCTTCTAAAACTTGAGAGCTTGAAGCGCAAGAGCCACGTGACCTTGCCGCCAGCAATTTGTGAAGCGCGCCTGGGACGACCGATCGCTGCAAGCCATTGCTGACTAAGGGTGTGCTTGTGGGCATTCCGAAGAAGCGGAAATTGACCACCGGCTGACAGACTGCGTGGAGTTCTGTCAGGATTTCTTTCAGCCGTGAAATCACTAAATGGCCGCGAAACCGGGATTCCGTGAAACGCGGCCATGCACACCTTCAGAACGGATCTACGAAGCCCCTAATATATGACGTATCTTTCAAGGCATTTGGGCGTCTCACGAGTTTCGCGCTTGCGGGATTCCACGTCCACTTGACAAGGACTGACGTCTTCTTGGGCAAGCCCGGCGCAACAAAACAAAACTCGAACACTTAGGGTTTCCCCTTCTCTTTGTGGGCCCCGTGAGTTCCCCTTGCTGCGCAAGCGAGCGCGGTCAGTTATGTGTTCCCAAACCCTTGGCATTATAGGGGAACCCTGTGGAATCCCTCTTGGCAGATCGCACATGCTAACGGTGAACTCGCATTGCCTGTGTGCGCAGCCATACACTCTGTAAGCGCAGCAAATCAGCCAACTAACCTGGATGTGTCTCGAGTTGCAACGGACCTTTTACCCAATGCGTCTTGAGGCATGTAATCCCACGTTGAAGCCGGCGCACGCCCAGGGCAAAGCTGCCCTGAACTGCTTTGCTATGGGGCATCGGAATGCAAATGGGGCCCGCGCGCGGTCGCAAATATCACGAAACCAGCAATCGTGAGAACATTCAAACAGCCTGACATACATTAGAGTCTCTTTTGCGAAGGCGAAAATTAGAGTCTTTTAGCATTTCTTGGTTGGTTTAGGAGGGTCGGGTTGGCTTCGGGTTTGTTTGGGGGCGGTTGAGGGTTGCTTGTTTGATTGCTTGCTTCCGGGTTGTTTTCGGCCTGGCTTAGGGTTGGCGCTTTCTTGCTCGCCTGCTTGCCGGAATGCGTGGAAAGCCCCCGTTGAGGTGGAAAAAAACCCGCAAACATTGCTCCCCCAGTTGCAGGGCTTGCCTTGGACGATCTCCGTTTCATTGGTTTTCCAGACCGATAAATGTCTTTAAGCCAGTGGTAGCATGAATACGTCACCGTCCTCCCAATGTCCGTCTTCCATTGAGACCCGGACAGCCCTCTGGGCTTGCTCGCCCTCGCGCAAAGCCTGAGCGATTGCAGCCCTAACGCTCTAAGAATTACTGTTCTGCACGCAACACGCTAACAAGGGGGAAGCGCGCTAAACTAACATTGTCATGCTGAACAAGTGGAAATAAGGAACCCCCAGGCTGGAACCTTCATCCCAGCCTCTCGTGAGACATGATGGGCAGCCAGCACGGTCCAGCACATGAGGCGCGCGCGGCGGCGATTTTTGCACGCCGCATTCCCAGCGGGCAGCACTTGTGGCCGCCCACATCACAAAGCCCCCCCTAGGCAGAGGAGGCAGCCACAAATGTGCAAAGCGGAACAACAGGAAAGAAAAATGCAGACCGACTCAGAAACTGCAGAGCAGCAGCAGGAAAATGGGCTCCAGGTGATTCGCCTCGTAACAGTCGGTTTGCTTTTGGGGTTGAAGCCAGGGTGTTCTCAGGACTCGCCTGTTGAAACCTTTTGAGTGTTATCCAGGGTATGATTTCTTCCGAATTGGCCGCTGCAGGGCCAATTCTGCTTGCAAAGCCTGCTGCTTTTGGCGCCTCTCACTGCCTTGAAACGGCGCCGCCGTGGGGCACGCTCGTCGGTCTGCGACGGGCCCATGTCGTTGGTTCGGATTGGGCTTTGTTGTGCGGCGGGGGGCGTGAGATGTTTGTTTGAGGGGGGCGGAATGACGAGCTGCAGCTTTGGAACAGTTGACTTTGCTGCATTTCATACAGGGCACAGCATGTATTTTTCGGCGGCACGTTGGCCCGCAATGTTTGTCACATGTTACGTTTCTTTTTTGAGGGGGGGGGCGGGCGCGTTGGCCTGGAAAGTGTCGCGCGCAGCTCCTTTGTTTTTTAGATGTTGGCCTCCAATGTTTGTCAAATTGTATGTTTTTGGGGGAGATGTTGGCCTGCAATGTTCGTCACCTTGGGCGCACGCACCGTCTGTTCGTGCTTGCAAGCCTTTCGGCCTGGGCGTTGCTGGCGTTTGGGGTTAACCTAGCGCATTTTGGACTTGGATGTTGGTTGCGTTGGACGCAATGCCTCTTTTCTGTGTGGCATTTTGGAATCTTCATGATTGTTGCGGTGGCAAGGCGGTGTTCTTTTCTTTCGGGGGGAGCGTGTTGGAGTTCGGTGCTGACGTCGGCCACGCTGGAAAGAAATTTGTGTCGCGCCGAGCATGTTGTTGATTTTCGCCTTGCGTCCTGGGCTCTCACGTTGGCGGCGCTGAGCACTGCTTGTGCCTTTTCACGTAGTTGTTTGTTCGCGTGCGCGTGTGCTCTTCTGCGTTGCGCATCCTACAGGCGCCAACGCTGCCAAGATCAAGATGTTCATGTCTGGCACCTTGCGTTGGAAAAACTACTTCGGTGGCATTTTGGACTTTACTGTTTGGCGCATAAGGCATCATACCATTCCGGCTTCGACTCTTCGGACTTCAGGATTTGTTTTTGCCAAAGCGTTGGCGCACACAGTGTGCGACGATCCCTTCCTTGCATTTTGGATGTTGGTGTTTCGGATGGTGAAACGGGTGTGAACAAACTTAAGACGGGGTGTCGCCCATCTCAGTTTAGTTGCCACCCCCAGTTAGCATTCGGGCATTCCGCTGGCCATCACGAACCCAACAAACAGTCAGACACACACGCGTCACCCCGCCCGCGGTCAGATGAACCTGCCTTTCCAAGAGCAGCTGTTGACTTCCTCCAGACTGTGGTCATTTGTGGGCGGGCGGCATGCTAGCAACGCCAACTCAGCATGTCGAGGCGGTGTTTGCCATCCTATAAGCTTGGCGCACTCCGCGCAGCAGCCTGCGCAGCCGCTGTCGCTTGATAGTTGTTGAAGCCTCGGGCGGGGATCAACACAAGCTGCGGGGGCTGATTGGCCTGACGAGTGGCGCAACTTCCCACCCGCTGACGCAGCTGACGCCTCACTGTTCCTTGTTGACATCACGCCGCACGCTGCGTTCGCCGCGGGCGTGCCGCTGCAAGATGGTAACTGAGGTGGAGCTGCTTTGCCACTGCTACCGTGGGTAATTTCGCCAAGGGTTGCTGCAAACCCACGACCAACACACTAGCCCAATGACTCTGATGAGTCTCTGAACACCTCAACACCCCAAGAGTTGGGCCAGCAGTTCAGCAGGCAAGTCTGGTCACCAATTCAAACTTTCAACGGCCCAAAACCCCAAGGACGACCAGGCAAAATCTCTGAAAATTATCACAGAGTCGTGTCGGGCGCGCACGCCCCCAAATCAAGATGGTCATGCAGCGTGCAGCGGCGTGGGGTCAGTGGAGCTTGAACAGGCCATGGCGCACTGATCCTTTCCCCCTGGTGAGTCAGGCGTGGCCGCAGCGTCCTGTTGCTTTTTTGTTGTTCTTCTTGCCCTTGTTGCCCTTATTGCCCTTGTCCTTGTTGCTGCTGTCGCGCGCGTCGTGTGAGTCTTTCGATGGTCCGCCAGGGTGTTCTGGTCCGTCACTATCTGTCTAAAAAGTTGTAGAATGGCTTTATACGGAGCTTTATAAGGAAGGGCTTTATAAGGAGCTTTATAAGTCAACTGAAACGCGCCACTCAGAACGTTTGCTATCCGAGCGTGCAACACAAATCAATGAGTGAACGTTCAGTCCATCACTCCACCCTCATCAATCGACTACGTGTCCCCGTGTTCCCACTCATCGCCGGCGTGGACAAGGCAATGAGGAGTTGGCGGCAAATTGCAGGTTTGCGCGTCCTGGGTCTAAGTTCGTGTGTACACAGTCATGTCACACAACTTTCCGAGGCACTTTTCAAGGCACTTTTCTGGGAGACCACACACCCACCGGTGATGTGGGCCTCATGTTCATGCGAAACCGGCTCAGGCACTATTGGCCCTCAGCAAAGTGTGCTCAAAAGCACAAGGGCCCAAAGGCCGAATGGGCGGAACGCAGGGAAGGCAACGAAAACAAACCAAACAAACAAAAGCAATCACGAGTTCCGAGCCCAACGCTGCTCACAAGCAACAAGAGCTCTCTTACGAGAGGCAGTCAAATGCAAATCTACAGATTCCTCTGGAATTGGGATAATGGGCTGCAGGAGGGATGTAGCCCGAACGATCTGTGTCCACGTTCAGAAACACTGCATTTGGCATACTGTGCAGGTGCCTGTTGAAAGACCAAAGCATTCACAAATTGAGGTTGGCACGAAAGCCCGATTGCCGCTTCAAAACGAAAAGCACGCGTGAGGCTTTTGGTCTTTTTGATGCCCACGAAATTTGTTGAAGAGGTCAAGGGGGACTATTTCGTACCCAGGCAAAGGAGTCATCGAGTATCAAGGGTCCCATTGCGCACCGCCTGCATTGCAAGGCGCATGAGACTGGCTTGAGATTCGAAAATCAGGTCACATCGGATGTGTCAGCGCCAGGCGCCTCACAGGGCCATTTGAGGGCTGCAAGCCAGTTCTGCAAAAGATTGAGGTAGTCGAGTTTCGTTTCGCAGGGCGGGAAAGCGGGTAAATCCAGGGCGCGGTGTTCAATGGCTGTGTGCCACAAAAGGTCTTGTGCTTGAGTGGCAGTAACGCGCACACCCATGCGAGTCCGGGTGCGCTTGTCGTTCCGGCTCAGCGCGGTGTCTTTGGCATCCGTGTGTGTCAAGAAGGCCAAAGTGGCTTGGGCATGGTAGAGCGAGCCGTTACACGTGCTCGAGATGCCCTCTCCCGAAACGTGTTCAATAAGAGTGCAAGAGTCTTAGCCACACTTGGCTGGGACCTTGAAATCTTCTTGACAGGCCTGACATGTTGACTGGTTCATAATTTCATACAGTTATATATCCACATACTGCTATGTACACGTTGGCGACCGATGACTCAGTAACTGCGCTGCTTAGGTAGGTGCAAATGTCTTTTGCCAGAACAGCGTGGTCGAGCACCCCGCACCCCGCAAGAAAAGAAGTAGTCGGTTCTTGAAGGTTATGCAATGTCTGATGGTGTGAATTTTCCGACTCGCAACGCTTATGAAACCCCGTGAAGTTCAATCAGCAAACAAAAGCAACTGACTGAACGTGAACATTTGAACATTGGCGTTTGCAAACGCCTGGCGCCCCAAAGGGAAGTATGTCTAATGTCTAGTCTGCAGGTCTGTAAACACAGGCAGGTAAACACTTTGCCCAGGTTGTCTGATCATTCAACCTAAGGTCCGAGACGCTCGTGCCTATTTCGGCGCAGCGCTCTCCAGGAAGCCTCCAGTCTCAGCGCCTCCGCAATGTCCATCACCGAGCTTCCGCTTCCTTGATGGAGCCATTGTGGGTCGACACGCGCTTCGCCCACACGTTGCGGTTGATGTCAAACCTCCTGAGACGGGAGGGCGGGGCCGCCGCGAAACACGCCAAAAAACCCTGAACGGTTGGGGCTGGGGGCCCACGAGAGTAGTGCAACAATCACCGACTCAGGGTTTCAAGATAGCCTACGTCACGGCCCCCCAGCTAGGTGTCATTTGTCAAGTTGTCACTTCGTGGACTCATTTTCATGAAACCTCGCTGATTCCCAAACACGCGTTGCCAGGAAATAGTTTGTGTAGTTTACAACTTTACAACAACTGCCCACAGTGTCTGCAGGTCATCCGTTTTGCGTAACCTCAAGTTTCGCGAGTGTTCAATAGTTTGTTTGATATGTTATAATGCTCTCTAGCCCGCTAGCCTCCTGAACTTACTGTGACTGTGTTCCTTCACTCGTGTTAATTCTTGGGGTCGACGGATAACTTTCATTACAATCCATGCGTGGTCCATGTTGCTCACGCTGACGCTCTTTCCCACGCTCATTCTCAGCAATTTCGGCTTTACGACTCCCCGCAAGTTCACACATTCATTTCAATTTCACTAATGCTCAGCATTTCTTATTTTGAAAGTAGTCTTCCTCTGTTTGACTTGCATTGCCTCTGACGTTTCCTCCAGCTGAGACGCTAACTGTCATATTGAGAACGCTTCTCCAACGTAACCCGATCTTCGGTCAGTCACCAGTCACGATTGTTGTTGCTAGTCTTTGGCTCAGGTTCGTCTAACCCGAAGCGCCAGACCTATTACGAGTCCTTCGTGATGGGCAAGAGCGGTTTGTTCAAAAAATGGCAGCCCTACAACCAGGCATTGTCGCTGATCTACAATCTCCAGGCTTACCAGGCTGGGCAATTTGGCTCCTGGCTCAAGGGTTTCCGGGTTCCCTAGCCTTTTCAAGACTTGGTTGCCACAACTCAGTTCCATGCAACCGCACGAGTTCTTGCCGAAACGGGGCGGCCAGACAACCCTGGCAATGGGCCCTTGGTACTTCGCTTTTCCTGGCATTGCTTGTTGGTTTTGTTTTGCTTTTCCCTCCCTCCCGCCCCTCCCACCCTCTGAGACTGAGATAGGGTGATTCTGAAACCTTAGATACTACACGCCACATGTTTAACATGTTTATTCTTACGCCGGCCAATTCATCATTGCGACGGCGGCGGCAATCTCGATGGAGTCGATGGAGGGGGCGTCAGTCGCAGCGGTTGACGAATCCACAGCCACTGGACCCGCCCAGCCAGGATTTGTGCTCAAGAAGGAGCAGGTCGCCCTCGGACTTGTCGGAATCTTCTATTTGAGAGACTTGCGGGACATGGGGGACTTGAGGGACGATTGAAAATTGAGAGACGTCAAAATGCCACCCATTTCTTTGTAGTCTGCAACTCAAAACTACAGCCCCTGGCCTTCAGCTCGGAAGTTGCTGGCACGAACTTGGCCCTTGGCCCGTTGATGCCTGTTTACTCTCAACTTTAACATCCAGTGAACTGGCGGCCGAGCTGGCTGACGGCCTACTGTCCATATCGCGCGCCGCGTGGAGCAAGTGGCACGTTGCTCTGTTGCTCTCAACTGATCCTGGAGGCAAGGCAAGGTCAGGCGCTGAACCATTGGTTTCGTAGTTGGACAAACTTTTGTTGATATTGTGGAACAAATGCATTTTGGTGAAAGGCCACGTTGGCCTAACGCAACAGCTCAAGGAAGTCTGAGATTCCTTGCTTTGCGTGTTAATGCTAGTAGCGGATGTGCGACGTGTTGCCGCGTTGTCGAGCTGCCTCTCACGCTCGCCTGAGCAGTGTGCGTTGACAAATGTTTATGTTCCTGCTTCATGCGTAGCCAACGCTTGGCTGCCCCCCGCCCCCCCCCCCCCCGTACGGCTTCCTGGCTCCCCACGTCTGTCCTGCTTGAGCGCTTCTCACTCTCCCTTGCCTCGTTTCACATTATGTTTTGTAGACTCTTTCGACTGTTTCGCCCTGCTCTGCCCATTTGTTCAAGGTCACCGTAAAACGCACCATTAGAAACTTACGACGCTTGTTTGTCTTTAAGGAACCCATCATTTGAACCCATCTAGCACTAGCCATCAAGTGGCACCATCAACCCTCAACATTTGGCTCTGTGAAGGCAACGGCCCGGATCTGATGAAGCTAAAACAAGCAACAACGCTCTTGCACCGGTTCTCGACATCATTTGCGGGCAGGCGCCTCCTGAGGTGCGTCCGAGTCATGGCAGCACCCCGCTGTGTGCAGCAAGGCGGGTGCGCGCACTCCTCGTCCACTTTGGGTCTTTTTCCAACGGCTTGTAGCGCTCGCTGACTCAGGTTGACTCACGGTTTTGCCTGGCCTAAGCTGTGAGAAGCCAAAAAGTTGTTCAATTGTCCAGCTGCCAACTGTTTTCAAGTTGGTTGTGACATTCGCGACTTCAATGGCCCGCCTGTTTCTCCAGTGGTGGCACCTGGTCTTGGCTTTCAGCCCTGTGATGGATCTACTTCGGAGCCCGCGACCGGTTGGACCGCTTCAAGGGTAAAGGCAAGAAGGGCAAAAGCAAGGGCAAGGGCCACTCGCGGATGTACCAAGCCTGTGGAGGCGGGTATCTGCAACACAGGCACATGCTACAAAAAGCACGGAATGGTCGTGGCCGGCAGCTTCCAGAAAGACCATCTTGGGCTCCTCACCCTATGTGCTCGTAGAAGATGAGGTCAGCGAAAACTTCTTCAACTGGGTGCTCCGCCGGCCTATAAGGTCACTTATAATTAGCGCGACAAGAGTTATACTTTGTGTAAGTGGAGTTGTAAGTACCGTAAGGAGGCTCTCTGTCACGCGTAAATAAGTAGGAGATACAAACAAGTTAACAAGTTGCGGAACTTAACACATTTAAGGGAAATAGTTTAGTTTACAAGCAAATTAGCAGTACTTATGATCTACATAGCTTTTCGTGAAAATACAAGGTTGGCGCGCTCGCCCTAGATTTTTTGCTGGCAAAACGATGTGTCGCGCGGAAATGCCTTGTTGCAGCGCACACTAAAATGGAAACGCTTCTTTTTTGCGCGATGGCTTTCCCAAGCCCGTCAGCAAGCAGAGGGCCTGAGAAGCAGCCACATTTTTTTTGGTCTCCGCGGCCTACATCATGTTTCTTTACCAGATTCTCTTGCACGCAAGCTGAAGGAACGTGGCCACCCGTGTCCGCAATGTCGGTGATCGTTGCCGCTCTTTTCCGCACTGCTTTTTCGGTGCATCTAGATGTCGGCGGTTTGTCGGCGGTTGTCGGCGGGGCGTCACGAGGCTCTGCGGGAAGGGTTGTAAATGTCGGCGGGCCCTTATTTCTTTGCGTTTCTTTACTTTTGCGTCGGCGGTTGTCGGCGGGGTGGGATCATACAATTTGGCCCCTGCGCACCAATGTCGGCGGGTTGTCGGCGGGCAGTTCACCTAGTAGGGAAATTCTCATTGGCAATGTCGTCGATGACCCCTAGAAGCTGTCCGCGCCCTCGGTGATGATCAAATAGAAATGGCCGTCGCCACGCGCTCCGCTACCACTCTACCACTGGTGAACTCAGCGGAGATGCACCTTTTCCATTCGATGTTTCGAAGCTCAACGGCCCTGGGGCCGATATGGTTATCGGATGCACACATGTGAGAAACGCTTGCAGGCCATGATGCGATCTGTTCCACACTTGGTCACAGGACATGGTTACACCGTAGGCAAAGGGCCCTTGACGCAAACATATCCTTGATCGAAAAAAACTGCGTTCTTTTTGCCGCGTTGGGCACCCAATTAAGCCCAAAAGGCCCGCATCGCCGTATGGAGTGCGCGTTCCCACCAAGCTGCCGCAAACTCTTCGCGATGGCTTTGTGCGCCGTGGACCTGAGAACCAAATGGCCCTGGTTTCCGCCCTTGTGAGCAGGGTTCAAGCAACCTGGCGTTTTCCATGACATGCTGTTTCGAGTGAATTGGGTCAACCTGAACTATTTCTGACAAATAGGTTCTAGGGTGCTACACGGCTGATTGTTATGTGATGCAACCTGGAACCGTGTGTTAAAACCATTTAAAACCCAAATACCCCTAGCCTGAGTCGCAAGCCGCGACAAGTATTCTTCAAATGTTTTGACGCAAATCCTAACGACTCCCAAGTGACTGTAGGCGTGGCTCCTAAACAGCGGTCGATGCATTGACAGGACGAAAGGCCAAATTCAGCTGTAGGTGCATCGGTAGAATTGCATTTCAAGGATTTGGACTCTGGATCAATCATGAAGTTGAGGTGGGCAGCATGGGCCCTTTTCAATGGTTTGATGTACGCGCAAAACAAAAACTAAACACCGTGCGCGCCGCTCAGCCCTTCGCCTGGACGTCGCGTACCAAATGAATTTCTTGGAGGCGCCAGGCTTGAACTTCTGTCCCATCCTGACGCAACGGTTTCGAATTTCGAATGCATTTGGCATGTGCAACTTGCACACGATAGACCTGGCCACTGATGATTTCTTTTCAACCACAATCACAAAATGCTTTGGACAATCATTCGTAGCTCCAAAATGTGGGGCCGACAATCCAGGGACATGGACAAAACAAAACGTGCACCATCACATTACGCTCTGGGGATGCAAACCCGGATTGAAAAAACGAGGGGGAAAACGCCGATGTCTGCTCAGAAAACCAACCAAGGCCTGGAAACGCGAGGCATCGTTGGCCACCTCGAGAGTCAGGTATTCGTTATGTTCAACGTGCAACATGCTGTCCCTATGATTCCACTTGCCGCTAAAAAACACATCATGTCATCATGAAGGACGAAAACCAAACTACCTACAGTGGTGGCACATGGAACTTTGCATGCCCGGCCGCAGGCCGATATTCGGTTTGAAACAAACTGACGGCAAACATGGCGGCAAACAAACTGACCTGCCAGCTGGTTTTGGATGGGATGGCGCGGGTCTGCTGCAGGGCCTGCCCCTTGAGTATGGGCCAATGGTTTTGCTAGAAAACAATTTTTGCCGGGTTCCCCAACAAACCCTTCTCTTGAAACGCGACTGAGATCCAGACCGCCGATTGACCTCAGGTTTAGGCATTGCAATTTCCCATTATTATTTTTGATTGCAATTCCCGTGGGTTTGTTTTGGGAAACTCACAGCATGACACGTTGATGCCGCAAAACATCCAACACTACCATCTATGGCGATAGGGGTGCTTTACGATGTCCATTGCACATCACATGCAGGCCATGATTTTGAACACACGGACGACCTAGACAAATTGTGCCCAGCCGTCGCATGCAAGAAAACAATTGACTGAACAAAGTCCACATGCAATTCTGAAATGGCCGATTAGGCACAACTCCCACATTGCTGAAAATCAGATTGGTTTTTCATTTGCCACACAAGCAACCGACGCATTGCGCAATCACTCCAGTTTCTAAATGTTACAAGTGCAGCGTCTGCCGGAATCCGCGCTGCAACATTTGCGATTTTGTGGGTCGATTGCCAAGTTCTACACATCATATGCTTCCATCTTGGAATCAACCGGGCAACACTTGCTTGCGGCAGCGGCCATGCATTGGCGTCTCGGCCCGGGCAGCCTTGGCCCGACAGTTCCGTGCGATTGTTCCGCGAACCCCTTTGCAATTAACATGGAAATCACCATGGGACAAAGACCAGCTTTCGGGGTTTGTTGGCGGATTCAGGCTACACCAATTGCAGGAGAGTGATTTTTGGCGCGTCCTGCCCCCCCCTGGTTGCCGCCAGCAATGAATCCGTGGCCAGCATGGCTAATTGCACAGCCGCACGTGCAAAAACCAAGTGCGTTGCAACCCTTGAAATGTTTGAGCTCCGAGCCGAGGGCAACTCGCGCCTTGGAAGCAGAGTTTCCCCCACGAGCCAAACCTCCAACACTACCGGGCCCAATGCTCGTTGCCTCGTGCTGGCAACCTGGTCCTGGAATCAGGCATTGCTGGACCTATGCTACGTACTCGCGCCTGTACACAACATTACCACGCAAACCAGGAGCCGTGAAATGCAATTGCAGCCTGCCCAGGCAGGACAGCAAAGAGCTGGACAGGGCTTGCGGGCTCCGGGAGGACTGAGGAGCTCACTTGTTTTTTTCCGAGTTCAGTGGCAAAGTCCCATTCCCCACAACCGAGCGTTTTGAACCGGATGCAAAACAGGGTTGGACATGGGACTCCACGCGAGACCCGAGGAAAAAATAATGCCAGCCTGTTTTTTTCGGTCGACGGTCTTCGTGCGAACCAGGGACAGGTGGCTCCATGCCGCCAGACAATGGGCAGCAGCTGGCAAACCGATCCAGCTCGGACAAGGCGGCAGTCCAAAACTGTGCGACATGCATTTATCGAGAAACCATGGCCAGCTGCCGGGAAAATGTGAATAGGTCAATTTAGCAACAACTCAAAGGCAGCTCTTGGTTGTGGTACAAGGCGCAGGCAGATCGTTCAGCAATGAGTCCAGCCTGGCACAAACCCTCTGCCAACAAGAAAGATTTGATGACGCCTCGGCCTGAAGTCCCCGTAAATAGTTTGTTAGCGCTCAAAACGCTACGTGCTGGTTTGTGCGGTCATGCAGCTGCTGAATCTCTGGAACGACTGGGTCCACAACTCTTGCGCTGAATTTTGAAACAAAACAGAGTTGCCTTGCCCGCACGAATCAAACTAGCCTCATTGGCCTTGCCCAAGACAATTGAAGACGGACGCATAGGGCCTGGGGCGCGCGCCGCTGTGTGCGAGCCAGCAGGGTGCCCTCCAGCCTTAGTGCGGCCAAACCTTTCCTCAGGGAGGGGGTAGGCTTGACGTCCCACTTCGCCACTTTTTGAGTGCATCAAACACAAGAAAACTGGGGCCAACCCTTCTCACCACCACGGCTCTATCACCTAACGGAAACCACTAAGTTTAGACATGAAAAAAACAAAAAAAAACTCCATGTTGGAAACTCCATGTTGGATGGGTGCGAGCCTGATGTGGCGCACGGCCCTCAGGGCGTCTGGCTGCTCCACGCGCCGGGCTAAGCGGCCCTCCTGGATCCATACGCCCCCAGAAAAATGATCCAACAACGAGCAACTGAAATTTATTGAAGCAGACCGCACGCAGCAACATGCATCTAGTGCAGGTACCATATTCTGCCCAAACAATTTGCTGAGGGCATTCCCAACAGCAACAGAAATGGATTTGTCCGCGTTGAGTGTTCTGTCCACACAGGGCATGCAAGTGCGTCTATCTAAGGGGTCCAAAGTCGCGATTCCACGCGACGTGGTGCAATTGTCGATCTCCAGCTGTGGCGGTGCATCTTTCTGAAGCAATTCGCATTTGTGAAAGCTGCAGGTGCTACTTTGCAGCTAAATGCTTGCTATGTGAGTTGCAGCAATGAAAGTGTACGTCACTTCGCGAACTGCTTTCGTACTCAAAAGTTACACATTCCAAGCTCCAGCTGCAGGAGCTCGCTCCGAATAGTACTTTAGCACTCAAGCCTTGCAATTTTCCAGCTCCGGTATGGGAGGGCACTTCGCGAGCTACTTTCGTGCTTGAAACTTGCAGTTTTAGAGTGCCAGAACAGGAGTGGGCTTGGGGTACTACTTTCGTTGCAACTTCCCTTTGCCTACAATTTTCGTGCTTAAAACTTTTTGAACTCTGCAAAGTGCTTCGCGTACATTTGCGTTGTGGGGCGTTGCCAGGCAACTTCTCGGACTTCCCGAAATTATTAGAGTGCAGAAAAACAGCAAGACATCAAAACTGAACCCGCCAAAAAAATGCGAATTCACCTTGGCAAGTCCTGAATGACGCCAATCAGAGACGGCGTGAGCAACACAATGAAAGGGCTCATGAAGTAACAACCCTATTTAGGGACTGCCGCAAGGAGTCGCAATTCGCATAGTGCCCGATCAAGCCTTCCTGGACGCAACCGTTCAGGCGAACTTTGGCCAACTTGTTCAAGGCAAAAGGACGTAAGCATTCTCAGGCTTTTCCGCTATCCGACAACATCCGAACGTTGTTCTTCATCATACAGAGTGAATTGTCTGAAAACCAACGCGAACGCTTGGTATCATGCAACTCCCGCAGTACACCTATGAGATCGTGAAGGCCCAGTACTACGAGCTCTTCATCACATCCCTGCAAGATCCTAACATCCGGCCCAGTGGCCGAAGTCCATCCAGGATCTTCTTGATTGTGAAGGAGGATCCTGGGTAGAAAAGGAAGGCGCTGAACGCTTGTGCCCGTAAGATGATGAAGAAGCATTATGGCAGCTGGAAGACCGTTATGCGTCCGTATTGAAGAGTTTCCGCGTCGGACTCTTAAGCACGGCGCGGGGCGACAAGGCGGACAAGCTAAGGGCAAACGCCGAAGAGGCCGCTGTAACCATTCAGAAAACAACAATCAGGCGTCAAGGCAGCATGGCCATGGTTCCACCACCGATCAATCCTATTGGAGAAAGAGAAGCAAATCACAACCGTGGCGCCAACAAGGCGAAGGACAAAGGAAATGATTCCGCAAGAACGACAAACGGAAAAAGGCCACACCAAAACCTTCGCCGTGGATCACAGCGCCGATGTACAGGAAGCCACACAGAGCCTTACTCGGGCGATTGGAGCTCTAGCGCTTGGTGGTCCGCAGGATGAAAGAGCGGTTCTTCTCACACAGACCATAACAATGGTAGCCCACAGCCAACGACACCCCCCTCAGGTTGTGAATTTGGGTGACGTGATGCGCACCACCAATCATGTCTCCGATCGTAGGTGTCAACCGCTCGCGTAGCACATGAAACATTGCGACGCCGAAGTCCGAGTGTCCTGCCGTTGCGCGAAGGCAGCAAGGTCGTCTCCAACCCTTGTGGTCGAAAATGCTCTTTGTCGACCTCATGGCTGCGCCATGTGTCTTTCAGCGCGGCCCTTTCCTCCATACTGATATCCGCGCTCATATTGACAGCTAGGATCTGCTACCGGTACTTTGATATGTCACCAACTCGGCGATTGCACTGTGCCGTTGTTGATCCGACAGGTATGCAGGAAATATTTCGGTGTCGCTCATAGTGTCATCAATGTTTACCCAGCCGCCAGCATCGCCCTTCTACCATTGGTCGCTTGCTCGCGTCTCAACCCGATTTAGTGACCTGCGATCGAAATGCTCATCTGCATGCGGTCGTCTCAGTCTTCCTGAAACCTTTGTCTCTGGCTCTGCGGCGTCGTCCGGGTCCAGACCAGGATCGACGTCATCGCTTGGTTCAGCATTCCGCTTGGAAGATGATCCCGCGCCGCTGGCAATCATTTAGGGCCTGCCTCTAACAATAACTCTTTAGGCCAAGTCAATACCCATTTCAGACCAATTTGATACCAAATTTTATACCAATTTTATACCAATTTGACACCAATGTTTCCACCAACTTGATACCAATCAATACCAATTTCATACTTGTATATACCACATTTATACCAAATGTATACTCAATTTATACCACGTGTATACCAATTTTAAACACATTGTATGCTACATTTATACCAATGTTATACATTGTTGGTACCACATTATACACATGTCATACCACATGTTGGCTCAGATGTCATACCCAGTTGGCATACAGCTTGTATAAAACAGTTATAAAAAGAGTATGAAATTGGTATGAAATTTGTATATTTCCGGGGATGCAAAATTGGTATGAAATCTGGCTCCGCTGTTGGGATTTAATGGATTTATACAAATTTTGCGGCCCAGATTTCATACAAAATTCATGGAAATGTTCACACAAACGTTGTATCAATTATTCAGATTTTATACAAACGGGGTATGACATCTGAGCCTAAATATGGTATTACATGTGTATAAATGTAGTAACACAAAATGTATAACATTGGTATGACTGCAGCATACAATGTGTTTGACATTGGTATAAACTTGGTATAACTTTGGTATACATGTGGTATCAAATTGGTCTCAAATTGATATAAACATTGGTATCACATTGGTATCAACTGGTACGAACTAATAGTGGCCCTGCCAGTAATTTGTAGTAACTATATCCACAATCAGGAAGAACAACTGCCCGAAATACCCCCTAGCACTGATAAAGAAGGGGGTCATTTATTGATAGAGGCAAGGCCTAAGCAATCATGTATGTTGCGGAGGTTCGTCCAGAGTGGAGAACCCGCGACCCTGCTTGCGATTCACGACTCATCCCCACCATGTTCTCAGCGAGCTTCCTTGAGACAAAACTTCATGAAAGACGCCTCGACCTTCGGGCGATGCATTGAGGCAGTTCTTCTTGAAAATGAGCCATTATCTCGAAGAACCCGATCAGCATTTCCAGACCATCAGCTAACTTTTCTGCATTGTCTGTGCTGAACATGCTATAGAGCGTTTCGGCCCCAATGAACCATCGCATCCCTGAAGCATATATGCAGTGTTGCGATAGCCGGCCTCGATCTTGAATCGCATGTATGTAATCATACTGTCCCTCTTGGTCTCCCCTTCTAGCTGCTGCATATAACTGCTTCCCGGCCCCTCTTTTCAATATCTTCACAAGCACCTCGTCGAATTCCACCCCGCACGCCAGCCCATCCCGTGATAGGTGCTGTGAGCACTCAGCGAAGTATCGACAGAACAGGTCGGGCTTGGCCCCGTGATTACCACGTGCCCTTCGGCGATCAAGCCTTTTGCGTTGCAACACACACCTTCCCCGATTGTCTGCAATGGAAGGCTTCTTGTCCGGGCTGCCCCACGCAGCCCTTGCACATCACCTCACGCAGCTCGTCCTTCGAACATCTGAGTTCGAACCCAGCGCTCTCGCCCTTCTTTCTTCTGATGTCCTCGTACATGTGGCTCTTCCTGAAGTCTGCAGTGAATGTAGGCTTGTACGAATAGCGCGCCTCGGATCATGCATGTCCTTGTGGGATGTTGAATACCAACTCGGGCTCATTCTCACACGCTGCTTCAAAATCGTTCACATGTTTGCCCGCGGAGGTTTTATTTCGCGCGCAGAGCAGACGATTGTTTCAATCATTTGGGTCACCAAATCCATGAGCTTGTCCGCCTGGACGCTGAGGTTCCCCGTCGCGCCATGGAAACGGGCGTCGTTGATTGGGACCTTCCGATGTTGTAGGCGGGATCAACAGTCCATTTGCTGCCCCGTTGCCCTCCGCATTCATATAGCGAGGCCCAAATGTGAACGGTCACTTGCACTTTCAACTATTTTTGTTGCCCTCTTCGTTCTTCGATCCACGGCGCCTGCAGCGCTGTAATTACAGAACTCGTAGTTCTCTTGAAGGTGTGACTGAAAGTTCTTGACGACATTCTTTGCATTTCGCAGATTGGGCGGCCAACCGGCGATGAGCAAACTGGTCCTCATCCTCAGCCAATCCACAACCCACTCCGCACCAACGCTTTTCCTGTCGCCTTGATTTGCAAGGCTCCACCCTCATGCGAAAATTGATAGAGGCACGCCCAGCTGCAGCCATGCATTGTTGTCTTTGCGCAAATGGGCATTGATGATCCTGTCTCCCTTGCTACGTTCATCCCACATCACCGGCTGCCGTGATCTTACGCAGGTGCTTCCCGCAGAACGTGATGTTCTCCGTCATTTTCTTGTTGTTGTGCCCGGGGTCAATTTCTGGATCAAAACCGTCCGGGACAATCGGTAAGCACGAGGCATTGTTCATGTAGATCTTCACCTGGGTACATGCCCCGTTCATTGCTTGACCCGTCTCCAGCACGGTGCGGGCGCTTTTGAGTCTGGAACCGTGCTGAATCTGTTTCCGGTCCTCGCCGCCTTCCACGTCCTTTGGCAATGTGATCTTGTCATCCTTGATGACACAGTTGCCTCCTCCCCTGGTCATCCGAACCGCTAGCGCCACTGGGCTGAGGAGCTTGGTCCATCAGCGCCAGTCTTCGTGCTGCTCTTTGCCATTGCCTTGGCCTTTGGCTTTCCCCAGGCAGAAGTACCACCGGTCATGATCCACCACACCGGCGTCTCGTCCTCGGGAAGCTTGTCCTTGAACAAACCACCTTGACAAGATCGAAGTTGGCTACATTG